TGATCCTCTGCGGAGGGGATGGCACCCCCGCTTCGGTAGCCCGACGACCTGCGCGCGAAGTCGAGCACTTTACGGTAGCACAGTTTAACGAGGACCAATACCGCACACCCTCGGTCCCTACGCAGACTGATCCAAGTGGTCACCCACCCGCACACTGACCGTAGTCAGTGATGCTTGACTTCGGTGATCTGCTGGGAACCATGTCTTAACGATCAAACCACTGCGGGACTTTTTGAACATTGAAGTGGCTGCTGATCAGCGAGTCTTTTAGCATGCAGAAATAAGCAGGTAAAGACCTTGTTTCTCAATGCTGTTTTTCATGTAAACTTGTTTGTTAAAGTAAATTCATATTAAAATGTCAAAAAACCTTTTATTTCGGGGCTTGTTTTTAAATTTTTATCGACGTTTTAATTGGAAATATCCTTATCCTAAAGAGCTCCAACCTTCACCTCCTGAAAAAGAAAGTAAGCAACGAAACTGCTTACAATTTCAATACATTTTGAGTGTTTGTTTTCAACAATTAGTATTTCATTCCACAACTATCGATATTTATTTGGCTTGTTCGATGCTTTTTTTCAACTTCTATTATATGAATTTTTTTTTTTTTTTGCAATCAATCTTTTATAAAACATCTTTTTTAAAGTTGTTACTCTGCAAAATATTTTACACTAAACAAATCTTAAAGTTATTTTTATTGTATATTACTTCTATTGTGTTTCATGAATTCTCTAGATTGTCTAAATAAATTGATTTGTATTTTCGATTTGCCATTGTGTTGAACTAGGGTTCGATCCCCTGAAATGGCTTGAAGCCCTCCCATCTTCAGATTTATGGACATATCTGGGAAGTAAAGACGGCCTCTAGTCAATGCTGACCACGTTACTTCCATGTCTATTTTCTTCAAACTTTGGTTAATGCAAATTGTATTTTACGGTAATCAAAAGCTCCAAGGAACAGTGCCCATTCCAAGGGATTTAAAGTTTATAAGAATAAAAATGCTACATATATTGTGAAAATTAAACTGTTTTGATTTGCTATATGTTGTAAAGTTCTGTTATTTTAATATACATGCATTTTTTGTTCTACTGTAATTTTACTATACCAAAATTCAGTTGTGATTAGTTATGCATGTGACCCACTGTCTACATATTTTTTGTTGGGGAGATATTTCCATATTTTTTCCCATCCACAACTACTGGAATGGCCAAGTGCCATTATCCAGTTCTATGACATAATAATTATTTCATTTCAGGGACAGTGAAAACCCTATTACCACAGTACCTGTATATATATATTATTATATTTTTGATTTTACCTTTGCCATAATGCCCCATAATTATTAATTTCAAATAATACCTGCTGAATTAAATTATGTATTTACAAAGGAGTACAAATATAACATAGGCTTTTATCTGCTTAATTTTTATATTTATATTTTGAAAATTACTTGTTTGTTGTTACTGATACCTATGGTGATTTTCTTACCTTGGTACATGTAATAGCATTATTTCATTAGATAATCATCTGAAATTAGAGCAATAAAAAGAATGGTTGATAGACTTTTTTCTTACTGAATAATTTAATAAACTAATTGTCATTAAAATAGAAATTTTTTAAAAACAATTCAATATAAAATTTTAATTACATTCCAATTTTACCTTTTATAAACATTTAGATTACATGAAATAAAATTTATTTGTCTGAAAATTCATTCAATCATTTACCTGTAAAATTACTGAGATTTTTTTTCACATTTTGAACTTCATGTTGAAAACAGTTAACTACTTATTTATATATCTTTGCTCTTCTTTGTTTCTTTATAGCAATTAATCCAGAAAATCTTGTGAAGATTCAAAACCCTATGAGTGCAAATGATAAATTCAACCAAGAATATATAAATAGGAATCCACGAAATCTAGAACAAATGCTACTGGAGGTGAAGCCAAATGGCTATCCAATTGATGCACCCAATAGGGTATTCTGGAACAAGTAAAGTCATTGTTTGTTTCACTTATAATACTTCAGAATTGTTATCCTACGTAGTTATTATATTTATTGAATCTATAATCATGTATGCCATAAAATATCAAATAGGAACTCAGAAACTATAAAGCCTCTGTACATATACTAATATTGACATATGACATTAACAAAAACTTTCATAAAAATTCCTTAATAACTCTTGCACAGATTAGAATACAGTCAAACCCCACTATAGTGAACCATCTGGGAACCCAGTAATATGTCGGCTATAAACAATGTTTCAATGTATCCAAATATTTTTAATAATATTTCTTAGCATATGATAGTTGAATTATTGAACATGGTGAATCTGATTTTAGATACAATTTGTTTAAAAAAGTTATCAACAAACGAAATAGATGATAATGTAAACTTTAGATAGAGAAGAAAAACTTCTTTTCTAAAAATTGGTTTTAATTTTACATTTTATGAAAGAAACAAGGGATTTTTGATGGAACACAATTTAATTTTAAGTAGAATTCATTCATTTTCTTATTTACAATTCAGGATTTTCTGATCCACATTTTCTGTCGAAAAAAAAAACTTATTCAGTATATTTACTGCTTATTTTACTTCAGATTCTTGATAATGCTGAAATTTATTTTTTTTTTCTTCTAATAAGTTTTCTTCCTTAGCTTAGTTCTTTTGTTTAATTTCGGAGACAATGTCGTCATCGGTAAAGGTTCAAATTGCTCTGTAACATCTCTAGGAATTATCTATTGTCTTATTTGTATATTGAAAAATGTCTATTCCTTGTTTTTCTAGCCACAAAGTGATAAGTAAATTTTCTTCATCATGTCCACCCTCCACATTAGAGTCTTTCTTCTAAACCCTTCGAAAGACCTGCGTGGCGGAAACATTTGCGGATTGTTATTGGTGTTACTTGCCTGCATGATTTTTCTAGCAAAACGATTGGCTCTAGAAGAGATATGTTGTATCTGCATTGTTTTTTTTTATAGCTCTTAAAACATGCATCAGTTTTCTTCTCTAGTGGGACTTCAGGCTGCGAATAATGCCTTTGTCCATGTGCTGCAACACAGAAGTCGTTTTTGGAAGTAGAAATACTAGCTGAGTACAGTTTATTAATTTCTAAATGGGGGTGAACTGTGTATACCTGCAAGTTAAAAGTCAAATAACTGAAAAAAAATTGCGGAACTGAAGTTCGAGTTCTTTATAACCAAACTAAAAATTTCTCAACTGTTCACTATAAGTGTTTAAAATAATATTATCTAAAAGTTCAGATGGGACCACTAAAAAAGTTCCATACAACCAAGTGCTATATCCCAAGTTCACTATAGTGACTGTATTCACTATTCATCTGTATTAATAAAATATCAAAAATTATCTTATAAAATTCATGTCATTAATGACTTTCTAAGTTGTAAAATATGATACTTTATATCTAAAGAAAAATTCTCTATTTTATAATTATCTTTTCACATAGTATAGTATGTACAAATACAAGATGTATGAAATTTATTTAATTCTTACAGTTTGCAATATTTTATTTGATAATTTTTAATTGCCTTTTAAAAAATTGCAGTTTTTTCTTATAAGTGGTCAGTGTGTACCAAAATGTTATATATACAGGGTTTGTACACACCTTAAATATCAGGAGTACCAGTAAAAACTGAAGAAAATGAGATTCAGGAGGTCAGAAAATTAACATAGTAAAACATAATTTTACCCCAAAACCAGGTATTGTCCAGGAATTTTTCCACCTATCAAACAGAAATTTCAGTTCTCTAGAGTTTTTTATATTAAAATAATTCAGTCCATATTTTGATGAAATACAATTTAAGAACTCTTCACTTATTTAATATTTTAACAGGGACAAATATTTTTGCAGTAGCAAATCTTATGATTTAAATTTGTCATTTCAAAAACTTAATTTAATTAATAACTTTTTAATTAATTAATTTAGTAACATTTTATTTAAGACAATTGATATTAAGAATTCATTGATCATAGAATTATCAAAATGATGAATTGGTGAAAAAGGACTATAAACTAATTTACTTTTGGCAAAAAATATTTCGTTGCAAGTTGTGTTTTTATCCCAAAATTATTAAATATAATTTTTTAATTAGTTATTTTGAATATTGAGCATAATTACTATTCTTAATAAAATATTAAATTTTTAAATTATAGAGACTTTCTTTAACTAAAGTTATTTTTTATGAATTTCCCAACTTGGTGACTTTTACATACAGTAGAGCGCCGATTATCCGAACTGCTCGAGACCGAACATGGTTCGGATAATTGGAAAGTTGTTTAAAATCTAGTGTAAATTATTATTATTTATGCATTAACTTCCCTTCGCAGCTTTTGTAGGCTTAGGACTGGCAGTACTATCTAAAATAGCTCCGGCATGTTTAAAATTTTTTTCCTTTTTCAATTTTTAAATATTTTTAATTAATTTTTTTTTTAAATTTTCATTTTGAATTATTTTTATCATATTTCAGTTTTTTATAATTTTTTTGTCAATTACTGATTTTAAAACATTTTTCATTATTTTCCATTGCAAAAGAAATCCAGCAAAGATCTCGTTTCAAAGAAGACGCATTTTTTTTTAGCAGCCATTTATCCCTTATTCTTTTTAAATAAATCAACTGAACTGGATCAACTTCATTTTGACTTGCTATTCATTGCGAAATCTAATGGATTGCATGCTTCTATATGAGAAGATCCACTATCTTGAACTTAATCACCTACTTCTTTCACTTCGTCTGTAGAGTTCCGATTTTCATTCAAAATTTCAGCAACAATTTCATCATTTTCATCCGAAAGATTTACTGGTTCAGAAACTTCAGTTTTGTTTGTTTTTCTGTTAAGAATTTTATTCCAAGATTTAAGATTCCAAGCACTGTAATCACTAATTATTAGCCATAAGTTACAGCTACCCATTCCCTAATTATAGAACTTCAGAACTTATTAATTCATAAACTCCTTCTGCATTCCAACCATTGTAGACTATCAAAATGAAGCTTGCATTCTTGGAAGATAATTTTCTGTTGTAAAGGGGTATGTAGGTTTAGCTGTATCACAATACATGTATGTATGGCTACTATAAGAAAACTGCTAAAAAGGTTGTAAATTAAATATGGTCTTCAGATGTAGAGGGTATTATTTATTCTTCACAATTTAGAAAAATTGTCGATAGGTTAAAAAGTATTCTAAACTTTAAAAAAAAAAAAACAAATTCGGATACAGTTCGGATAATAAGGGTTTGGATAATCGGCACTCTACTGTATTTGCATCTTCATAATAGTTGTATTGAATTAGCAGTTCAATGATTGAACATTTCACTGGGGACCATTCACTAATTTATGTGTGTAATGTAATTTTATATATGTGTTCTTTTTCTGTTTGATTCACAACACATCTTTATCACAAGTTAAGTTTTGTGGTAATATGGAGAAAAAAATTATTTTTGGTATGATAGAAGACACCTGGTTTTTTTCAGTTACACTTCAGCATTTTTTCTCTCATTACAATTACAGCTATTTTTTTTATTATTTATTTAAAAAATTTAAGTGTTAACTTTCATAGTGTTTTTTCGCTCCTTTATTTTTATAATTATTTTAAAGACGTGGATTCAAATAAATTATGTCTGTTAAGGTGTGTCACTTTGTACATAAAGTAAGGTAAAATAGAAACTTGAGATTTTCTGAGCTCAGATACCCAGAATATTTGCACATCCATTTCTAAATAACTCTCTCTAATGTGCGTTCTAAATGCTCTTATGGTAACTGCTACATGTTTGGAAATTCTATAAGAGTTGGTTTAAAAACTTAAAATGTTTTGATTGTTTTAGAAAGATTTTATTTTTTTCATTCTCAAAATCTAAAGCATAACAAATTATCATTGTCATTGGTTTTTGCATTAATGTTTTAAATTGAATGCTGTTTTATTTTTTTAAAAAATCGAATTATTAAAATCATTAGTTTCAATCATTTAATTTAGATCATTTACATTTCGGTACATGTTAAAATTACTTTTTATTTTATTTTTTTAAATAAATTGTCTATAATCTTTAAAAGTAATCCAATATACATAACGTCATGATTAAGTATTTTAGTGAATTTCCTGATTGAAGTCACAGGCTTTAATTTTTTGTCATTGTTGACCCTCCTCTAAATCATTAACTATTTTATTGTTTTCCCTGAGTATATAGCACAAAATTTTGTATTTCCTGATGCTATAAAGGAATATTGAATATATATATNCAAAGTTTTTGAATGTCACTCAATCAATTAATAATTTACCTACTTGAATCTCTTTTGTTTCTTAACAATTATAATAATTTATCCTACAACTTAGGGGTGTAAAACCTTTTATCAGAAGTAGGGCTGGGTTTATGACCTGACAATGAAAAATTGTCAAAAAGCTAATTTATTTCTTATATTATGGAACAGCACTGCAGACAAACTCTTTTAACAAAATTTTCTTTATAATTAGCAATTTTGTTAATACTTATTTTTATATGCTATTCAATATATTGAATATATATATTGAATATATATATATTGATTTGTAACCTTGGTGATTGTAGTTGGCGTGATATATTAAAGAACAGAAATATCCTTTGAAAAACTGATCTTTAAAAAAAAAAAAAACATATTGATGGCTATTTTTTAGACAGTTTTAAAACTATAAAATTTAAGTGAAAAATGTAACTTAATGTTTGCAATAAGTCTATAATAGCTGTTAAAGCTTCTAAAAAATGTCTTTTGTTGTAAGATCTAAGTATAATTTTTTAAAAATCATATTAAAGTGTTTAGTAAAAGGCAAGTTACTTTGCTGCAATGTCTCTTTTTTTTTCTCCTTTTTTTTACATAAAAATTCAGAGTCATTAAAACTTTTTCTGGTTATCCAGAAAAAGTCAGAAATATTTACAAAATGCTTTTAGATTTTACAAAGTATAAACCATTTCAATCACTGGAAATACTTATATTAAAAAAAGTTCATATTAATTAATAATTTTTTTGTTATGATTTTTCTTGTGTTTATCTATTGTTAACTAAATGTTAATCAAAGTTTTCATGTAAATTTTTACTATTTTTAGGTTGCATTTTGAACGAAGTGCTAAACATACGTCAGCAAAAGTTTACCACAATAGTGGTCGTAAAATAGCTTCAGCTAGTACTAAAGAATGGGCTATTAAGAAACACCTTAAAAGGTAAAACAATCCTATTAAGTCTTTCCTTAAAATGTTTGCTTGGTTATGGGTAGAGATTTTGTCTGATTTAAGTTGGAAAACAATTTAAAACAAATAATATATATTCCAATCTCAGGGGTCTGTCCAGGCCGAATTTACCACCGTTTAGCGGTACCTTCACAGATTCAATTTTAGGAAAAACGGTAGTTTCACAAATTCAATTTTAGGAAAAACGGTAGTTTCACAAAATACTTTTCTTAAAATTTTATTTTTGTATCCTTTAAGACACAATAAATTCATATTTTTTTTACCATATTTTTGTGTTGATTTTTTAATATAATTTTTAATTTTTCACAAATTATGTCTAAATTTTCACAAAATAGGTACCTCTCAGAAAAACCTAGACAGACCCCTGAATCTCTACATCAGTGAAAAATGTACTTTATATTTTTCAATCTAAGTTTTTTTCTTTAATATATATTTCATTTATACATATTATATATATACAGTGGAGCATCGTTTATACGACGATCACTTATACGACGTTTTAGTGTGGTCCCAAATCATTCCTATTCATTTTAATGTAAAAATAAATCGTTTATACGACGCACAGAATCGGTTATACGTCGGTTTTTAGATTTTGTTCACGTTTATTTAATTTTTTATTTTTTCTTGTGTATTTTAAAAAAGGGCGGAATTTGCCAACATGAATGATACAGAAAAGGGTGCCAACAAGAATGCTTGGATGACGACCGTAATTTTTACTAGATGACTGAAAAAACTAGACAATGTTATGAAGAGGCAAAAACGAAAAATTTTGCTATTCATCGACCAATGTCCAGCGCACCCATCGATACTAATTATTTTGGAAAATGTAAAAGCTCTCTTTTTTCCTGCAAATTGCACAAGTGCGCTTCAGCCATTAGATTTGGTCATGATTAGAAATCTAAAATTGCATCATAGAAAGCAGTAAGTTCAACTCGCTATTCAAAGCATTGTAGAGACAAATAGCAAGAAAATATAATTAAAGGTATCATACATTCAAATTGCTCACTGCAATTTCTCTTCTTTGGTTATTTGTTTGTTTTGCTTTGTCTAATTTAGAAATTTATGTAAATCAACACGTTAAACATTAAAATTAACTGAAAACAGAGTTAGTTTCAGTTTTAGAAGTAAAAATCGATTATACGACGTTATCGTTTATACGACGTTTTTCGGTGGTCCCTTCGGCGTCGTATAAACGATGCTCCACTGTATATATAAACTATTGCATTGTTAATTATTGCAGAATTGTTTCAAATTTCATCTGTACCTATGATTCAAATAAAACAATTATCAGGACTTCTATGTATAAATAAAGTTATTTGTATATAATGGTATTCAAAATAATTTTAAATGAAATTTTTTAAATTAAGATTGTTCTATCAAAGCATGCATTTTGCATACATTTAAGAATTGGCAATGCGTTCATTTTATAATTTTCTAGTAGTTCTTCCATGAGAAGTTTTATTAATATGCTTGTAAATTGTGCATTATTAAAGTTTTTTCACTAACATTAAAATTTTCCTCATTAACATAATGAGATTACTTTAGGTTAAAGTCATTAGTTTATAATTATATCTTCTACTTGTGTCTAAACAATTGCTATAGTTCCTAAAATGCAGGCATAGGTTTATATTCCACAAAAATGTTACCTGATAATTGATACCTGAATAATATGCTATTAAGCATGATGCAATTATAAACAATTACAATTCACCAATTAAAATGAAAAGTAAGTTTATTTAGAGAATTAAGGTATACATTTAATATAATAAGTCTTTAATATAATAAGTCTTCTTTTTATATTGTTAATAGACTGTGGTACTATTTTTTTAAAAAAACTTATCTTAAAATTTTTTTAATAAACCTGCTTTTTTTAGTTTTTTCTAAAAATTACTTTAAGAAAAAAAAAATTCTGTCTAATTTAATAATTTTCCTAATAAAATATATTTATAAGCGTATTATTTTTAATGTATGAAAAGTCACCATACCAAAAAAAGTCAACCATTAATAAAGAAAAATAATATAAGTTGATTATTTTCATTTAATTAAATTTTTAAAATGATTGTGCATTGTTAAATAACTGTTGAAAGATTTTATTTCTTGTTTTACATTAGTGGTATTGATAATGATGCTGTCGCTTGTATTGCTCGTGTGCTTGCCAGAAGATGTCTTCAGAGTGGCATATTGTTTGTAAGCACTGAATTCGCCCCTCGTGAATTCAGGACTACTAAGGTAACACAATGCATTTTTTTTTCATTAATTTATTGTTGGTCCTTATTTGTTGGAATATAATAAAACTGGAGATCCCCAACATTAAAATTATAAAACTGTTTGATTTTGATATAACATTTTTAATGTCTTATTTTATATGCGTTTGGTTAATCCTCGAAACCTGACGGAGTCAGCTATACTCCATAAGGTTGTTGACATATAAAAAGTCCTTAATGGTCAGGGGATCAAATGACAGATCACCTCTTATTAGTCCAAAGCAGTCCAGTATGTGCTCGGATGAAGCAGAATGGTTATTGCATTTTTACAAATTGGAAAGCTCTTTTTGCCACCCTTGAAGGAGAGACACATTAGATAACCACTTACAAACCTGGTCAAGGTACCTCTGTTATATTTGGTATTCAATAGTGTGCCAGGGTGTGTCCTACTGTACCAGTAGTGCACAGGTGGTATGTGCCACAATGAATTAAGCCTTGATTTTTCATTGGTAAATATTTTTTGAATCTGTGGTCAGAACACTCTTGCAACTGTTCTTAGCAATGTCATTGACATATATGTTTATTTTATTTACTTACTATTATGCAATACATCTAATTAAATTAAGTAGACAAAAAGAAATTGAAAAATCAAACTTAGTTAACAGAAGGTTTTGGTGATAAAGGTTTCTGCGATAAGTAATATTAATCTGGGAAAATCAATTAATATTATTCAAGTACTCAAAAATCGGGGAAAAGGCTTTAAACTTAGGTCTAAAGTACCTAATAAACCAATACTTTTCCAGACAAATCGGTACAAATTCTGAAATAAATGCTTTGATGCTCGATTAGTTCTTCAACTTATATCAATAGTAATAAATTATAAGATATTTTGCAGTTAATATGTTTATAAATTGTACATAAATGTTATAAATTTTCAGAAATATTTATACATTATTACATACATTTATTAGAAACGTATGCGTTACAAAAATGATTGTCTTCAATATTAAAGAAAAGTATGTTAAGAGGCAACAAAGTTAAGAGTAACCAGACACTCTTACGGTTAAATTTGATCTGTCATAAATAACAGAAGCGAAACAAATTGTTTTTTGCGAATTATGCATCTTTACTACTATCTGAATTATTTCATGTAATACTTTTGATTTGTTTATTATTGTAATAGTGTTTAAAGCAGTTATTTGCATTTAACTTCTGCAAGTAAAACTGTTTTCTAATATATTTTATATTTGTTCATAAATAAAACAGAAGTAAAAAAAATTGCAATGAAAGTTTTGCAATCTATTACAAAAAATTGGGAATATTTTTTAAATTAAATCTGGATACATATTTTTTTGATGAGGAAAATATTTATATGTTTCTAGTTCTTTAAGTATAATTTTTGTGTTTTCACTAGTGTAAATATTCAGAATAATCTTGTATGACTTATTTAATATAATATATAGAAGAATTAAAAATGAATTATTAGTCAAATTCAATATTAATTATTTCTTTATATTTTTATCATGTTTTATTAATTTTTTTTCAATTTAATAATTTTGTTATTGAGACACTTTTTAATGCATGCATAGGTGATATATAAATTAGAAGACCTTAAATAATTTTTAGAAATATTTCCATACAAAATTATGTTGTATATTGCAAAACATTTCTTACAATAGCAACTCTTACATCTGCATTTACTTGCACCAACTATATTTATTTTGGTCTTATTTAAATTTTGCTAAGTTTTAAGTTTTTATTTTAGAAATATTTTTTTAACCTCATTTTAGTTAATTTAGTTTAGTTAGTTTAAGAGAGGCAAAGGGTCTTTAGAATTCAAAAACTATCATTACAGCTGCTTCTCTTGTACTCTATTTTTTTTTTCTACATATGGTTTTTTGTATTTATTGCTGTAATTGTCTTTTAATCTTACCATTAGAAATATAAAAAAAAGAAGCAAACATTTTTAATATTTTTTTTTTTTGCAGATAAAGTTGAATTTTAATCAAACTGCACCAATAATTAGTCTTTGTTAATAACTGCCCTAAACCCTTGTTAAGTAAACCTAACCTTCAATGAACAAATGTTGCCACACTTTTACTTTCTGTGTTCAACGCTACGTTTTAAGTGGCAAAAATCATTTTTTATTATTTTAACACTCTTATTGTTATATTTATTATTAATATAATTTTAATTGATTATATAATTATTAATATTATAAATGGCTTTCTGACAATTAAAGTATAGTTAGTTTCTAGCTAGTCATTTGAGTCAGTGTACAAACTAAAAATATGCTTATTTTTATATTTTCTTTGTCATATGTAAAACAAATCAACATATCTTATTTGTGAAATATTCTTAAATTTTGTATGTACTCTTAAATCAATACAAAATAAAATTGTTTGTAATCTTTTAACAAAGGAATAAACTTTTGTTAAATTTGTTTCACTAAGAGGACTTTTTTCTTCATAACTGTAAGTAATATTACACCCCCAGTGCTGTAGCTTTGGGGGACAAAACCCCCTCTGAAATTGTATATATACTTGATTAATGAATTATTCTACGGTAAGTAGCATGTAGATATAAAAAATTTTAAATTATTCAATTTTTATATATATATATATGTTAGGAGATAATCGATTACTCCCTTCAAACATACATTAAAACTACACCACTACACACCCCATGTAATTTCCATGGTGAAAAATATTGTCATGCCCAATGAAATATTTCCTCATATCCAGTTAACAAGTTAAACATGTTAAAAATTGTTATAACATCTTGACCTTGAACAGCTAGCCTAAAAATTGGAGTGTGATTAGTATTTAGATATCTAAAGATTAATGTCTATTTTAGAGACTTGTCAAGTAGAAAAAAAATTATGCATGTTACAAATTAATATTTAAATGGTAAAAAAACAAAGCATTTTGAAATTCTAAATAAGACTTTATTGAAGTCAATAAAATTAACACAATTATCATCGAAAATCAGTTTATTTGAAGATGAAGGTTGAAAGCGGTTTTGGACAAAAGGCAATCACTGAACTGGTTTGTGATTATTTTAATCCCTCTTTTTTTTTTCTTTATAATTGGTCACAATTTTAAATTTTTTTATCTTTCCTAATTAAATATTATCCATTAAAAAAATAATAGTTTACAAACCCTGAGTACATATTTTTTTGCTTCTTTTTAGTAGAATTCTTAACATGTATGGGTTGTCACTACGGAACACCCACTATATATACACTAAAATAATGTTTCCTTTTTTTAGGTTCAGCTTTTGTTAAAAACATTACAAGAAGGAGGCTTAAAAACTAAAGAGCTCAGTGCCATCTTAGCCAAAGATGAAAGATATCTATGATGTCTCAAGTGTGTAAACTTATTGTCTGTAAATAGTAATAAATGGGATTAGTTTCTTCTCATATCTTGTTTATTTTTTAAACAACCATTCGTTTTCTAAAATAATTAAAAAATGCAAACATTTCACACTGTATTGATTTACTAGTAATCTGTATATTTAAAGATTTAGAAATATAATTCACACTTTTTATATGTGGTTTATTTTAACATGGATGTATAAACTAAATGAAAATTAAGCTATTTATAAATTATTTTCATAAAATCAATAAATGAAAATGTTCTGTCATTCTACAATCATTGAAAATAAATTCAATTTAAATTGTAAACTCTTCTAATATGTATACAGACTTACAGATTTCGCTCTTTTTAGGTCAATTATAAATTACTGAATAAATTAAAATTACACTTTTTGTGTGAAAATACATTGAAATGGTTAATTTTTTTAATTGAAGCAAGCCATGGATTGTATATAAATAATTTCAATATTATGGGGTGCATCCATGACGCAGAAGTTCAAAATATGCTACCTTAAATAGTCAGATATCCAGGGTCTCTCAAAATAATAGCCTCAGAAAAATGTTTAAAAATTTTTGGATTGCTAATATTAGCTACAAAACAATATTGGACAAAGCAAACTGAACTACATTAGAAGAAAAGATGAAATCAATAAGATCAAGGCATGTGCTGAAAATATAAAAAACGCATCTTTCTTTTTCTTTAGCCTCTGATGATAAGAGAAAAAAGAGAAGACCAAAAATGACTGGGCAGTTGATTGTATATAAACAATTTCAATATTTTGAGGTGCATCCAACAAAAAGTTATTTAAAACAAAATTTTTATTATTCTAAATTTCATTTTTGTGTATAATATTTACACTAACTCCAAATATATTGTTATTTAACACTAAAGTAAGAAAATCCGAACATCAGCTTAATGACAAGCAATGTGCACACATAATGGTGAAGGGACCCATTTAGAAGCGTCACTTCAGAAGAGTGGACTACCGTAACAAACGAGTTAACTCATTTGTATAATCTTTTTAATTAACTTCGTAAATAAATTTACTTAACTAAAATTTTCATTTCTTAGCATCAATTATCCAATAGTTTTCTGTGCCCTTTTCAGCAGTTCCAACATAGGCTCAAAAGTAATAAATTAATTTTGCAATAAGTTAAATTTAAATAATTGTCATAATATTTATTCAAGTTACGTTTTGTGCACTTACTTATAAATAGTTGTATTAATAACCTTTGCACCCTGATTTAAATTAAAAATGTTTGTGTAAATTCAAAATTTGATAAAAATTAATATCTACATATAATTAACTATATATTTATTTATTTCAAATAACAAAATACAATAAAAGCTCTCAATAAATAACAACTTAAATACAAACTCATAATTGAAGAGAAATAGAACAGTTATTTTTTTTAACGAAAATAACAGTACCTAATAAGAATATAAATAACAATTCGTATATAAGTATATCCAGTGTACAAAAATAAACATTGTGAAGTTTAAAAAAAATGGAAATTTTGTTTTTAAAATAAATTCATAATCTGGCTTCTATTTTACAATGAAATTGTAAATACATAATAATATAACCAAATATTCCCATTTTTCTGTTATTTATGCAAAATTTTAAATAATGTAATAATGTTTAAATAATGTCAAAATTTTAAAATTATCACTATAATCTATCACATAAAAACAGGATGAAAATCACAATAAATAATTGTTTTCTTCTTACGAATTTCAATGAAATGTCACAAGAGAGGCAGCCAAGATTGTAAAATTCTAGAAAATTTTAAACCTAGAATAAATTCTTCTGAAGATAACAATGTAAACCGTAAATATAAAAATGATTTTGTTCTAGTATGGTACAGATAAAGCCTTTAATCGTTTAAAAAAAATTTGAAAATAGGAAAAATAAACACTTTGTTCAAATAAATACACATGCTTTTGTTACATGATGCTTTGTTACTTGGATGAAAACATATTAATTTTCATAAAAACTACTTCAAAAATAATTATGTATCTAAACATTTTTTGACTTTTAAAACAATATGGCAATGAGTCATTTAATTTAACAAAAGCTTCAAACAATTTATTTAAACCTCTAAATATGTATTTTGATGTTACTAGACATTACATGAACATAGAATGACACAACCCCTTATATTCTAATTTTAGATAGTGTTGGTCTATGGTTAGTTAAATCTGAATTACTTTGATGATCAAAAGTACATCATCATGTGAAAACCCACATAAAATTATCCAGATCCAACCTATTCTATCCACGAAAAAATTTATGGTTTTAGATATATATTTTTAAGCAATACAGTTACAAAAAAAAAGTTAATTTATTAATATTTATTCTTTTAGTTTCTTAATTCTTGTTAAGATATAACATTGTTCGCCAAAATTTGTTCAGCTCTTTTTAGTAATGAGGAAGCATTTAGGGTATTTTTATGCACTAAAAATAAAACTACCAGGGGTTACAATGTTTTAGCTCTGATGCGGGAGTCATACGGACCGTAAAATGAATAAAAAATGTGTATGAAAATTTAAAAACTGAAGAAAACTTGAAAGGACTATCATAGCTTCAAACACTTGATTTTGAGATTCCACATCTTTAACACAAAGTAAGTGAAAACATTTTATTCAAACTAATGTAAATAGGTTATTATTAAAATAAGAAAAATGTCAGTATTGTATTGTACAACTTTAAATTTAATTTTAAAAAAATCTAAAATGAAATTAAAGTAGAATCAATTCATTTTTATAAATTTTTGTTATTGTTTGAAACTATTATTTTTTTAAAAAAAAAAATGGTTGTACTGACTTACAGAATGCAGAACACACATTGATGCCTTCACAATGCAAAAATTTTTAAAATAACATTAAAAAAGGGATGAATGCAATTTTAAGTCTTAATGTGAAGTTTTATATGATTTTCGATTATTCAATTTAACATTGATATGACGTAAAATATTTTCAGCAGCAACTTTTTAAGTATCGTCGAAATATTGAATTATTAAACCTATTATTGTACTGGATTTTGACTTCTTTCACGAGTTTGTTTAATGACCAATATTACTTAGGTCATTTTAAAACAGACTAATTCATTAATCTATTAATTAAGCATCAGCTATGAATGTTCTGCTACTAGCTATCTGAAATAATTGTCTTTTTACAGCTTTTTTAAAACTCAATAAGATAGTTCAGTGGGTCACTAGTTGCCAACAAGACATGCAGTGAAAACCCTTAACCTGATATAATTAGGTAGTTTGTGCTACAACAGTTTGAAAAAATTACAGATCCATAAAACAAAACAATGGCTTGACTCTTGTAAGTCCCTTTGTGACAATTTTTTAACACTAACATATTTAGATTCTAATTTTTTATTTTTTTTTTATCTTTGTCAGTCAGCTAAAAATTTATTAACCAATGGAGCTACTCTTTCAGGATTGTTTAAATGAACAAAATGATTTCCCTCTACATGTTCCAAAACAAATCTCTTTGAATTTTTTCTGTAAATTTCATAAGCCATTTCTCTCATCTCTGGTGAATTACTAATGTAGTTAGGATGTGGATTAGTTGCCATAATTAACAACATTTCAGACCGAATAGCTTTTATATACTGAAACATCAATTCATGATTTTTAACATTTAAATACTCAACAGGCCGACATCTAAGATCTCTTGTAAAAATTACTCCTTTTCCACAATCAGATGGACGACTCCCACGTTTTAGCAAGATTTCTGCTCCTTCCCGAGTGATTTCACCATGCATTCCGTCTAACAACCTTTCGATTGCTGATTCAGGGGTATAGACAGGAGGTAAATTAGATAATTTTTTTTCTTGCTTTATATAATCATTAATCGATTTAGCAATAATGCCAGGAAAAACTCCGAGAGGCACTGATAAAACTTTAGCGATATCAAGAGCTACAACTTTTTCCACTATCTCTGAATGCATCGAAGTGAAAAACAAACCCATGGCCCCACCTAAACTATGCCCCAAAATACTGAATTTCTCCCACCCTAAAAACTCTACTACCCTTTTGTATTCAAGAATTGTATCAATATCTGAGTATAAACAACCTAGTGGTTTGTGGGACGATAAACCACAACCAGGAGCATCAACGGCAACAATGTAAAGTTTTTTACTAAGTAAAGGAAAAAGTTTATCAAACGTTCCACAGTTGTCTAACCATCCGTGAAATGCTAAGACGGGCTTTCCTGTTTCTGCTCCCCATGCCTTGGCAGCAATCTTCCCATATGGTGTGGGTATACATAATTCTTTAACATTAGTAGTTCCAAGGCAATCATTTGCAGCTAAATGGTTGTTTCTTAAACATCCTTGAAAGTGCTGAGAAATCTGCCTTAAACAGCTGAAAATAAATTAGATTTTTTAATTCATTTTATCAAAAGGATTTTAATGAAAAGATAATAATTATAATTAAATAGTTCTTATGTATTTTGTAAATATCGTTCAAATTGAGAGCATATTATTTTCTAATGAAATAATCACAGAACTCTATATATATGTATGCATGTATATATTTCTTCAGTCACTTTAATTTATCGCCATCTAGTGCTATACGAGATTTTTATATCCTTACACTAACTTTTTTTTTCTTTGATGCAAAAAATTCGAGTTTTGAAAAGAAGTTATGTGCTGATTTTAAGGCAAACAATTTTTAGTAGTACTCCAATGGTTTTTCTTGAATTTTTCATCAACTCTACTTTTGTAAATTTAAATAAACATACTCGTGAAATGTGATTGCTATGGAAAAGTTGACCAAAACCAAGTTCTTAAAGTTTCTTTCAAAATCTTCCCACCCCTAAGAAACAATGTGAATAAAATTTCTTAAGTTTTTATTAAAAAGACAAAATAATCCAAAATAATTTAGCTCTGAAAATAAAAACTATTTAGTGTAAAAAAAAATTATATCTGTAAAGCAAAGCTCATTCTAGGCAGAAAAAAGGGCAGTGTGCAAAAGTTAAAAGGCATTATTCTAAAAAGGCAATAATTTCTTTCGATGGGCTTTACACGTTCTATTAAAAAACATTGTCAATTAGTAAAAGAATTTTTTTTTAAACTTTACAAAAAGTAGCAAAGCAATCATATTAATTACTAATTTGTATNTTGTAAGTCTTTTCCCATGTTAACTGATAGGGGAACTGTGTGTAGGGGAGAAACATTCTCCCAATTTTGCCCATTTCCTTAACCGCCAGTGGGTTAAAATGCATGCATATATTAATAAAATAATAAATGTATGTTTTTCAGTGTCTATAGTTATGATTTAATAATTATGATTTAATGATAGTGGAAGTAACTGCAAACTTTCAAAGACAAGTGCAACAAGAGGGTGTGATGGCTATTTTTCTTTTCCCATATAAATCTATGTATTGACAGCAATGACAAAATAAATAAAAAGAGTTAAAAACAACAAAAGTTTAAGAAATCCATTGCAGAGTTTGGGGAAAAAATAAAGAAGGGCTAAGGACAGAAAGGGTATGGAGTCTATAGTCTATCACATCAGGGCACTAATTTAATTCAGGCTTTTGTTGCAGTTCATTTACGTCGCACTAGAGCTGCACAATGGGCGACGGTCTGTTAAACATCCCTGAGGATGATCCGAAGACATGCCATCACAATTTTGATTCTCTGCGGAGGGGATGGCACCCCCGCTTCAGTTGCCCGACGACCTGCACGCGAAGTCGAGCACTTTACAGTAGAACAGTTTAACGAGGACCAATACGAGGTCCCTACGCAGACTGATCCAAGAGATCACCCACCCGCACACTGACCGCAACCAGTGATGCTTGACTTCGGTAATCTGCTGGGAACAGTGTCTTAACGATCAATCCACTGCGGGACAATTTACTTCAGGGGCAACAGGGTGGATTCTTTTGACTAAAAGGGCAGCAGGGTGAATTCTTTTGACTAAAAGGGCAGCAGGGTGCTGCACCCTGTTTACCCTGCCTAGAATGAGCTCTGCTGTAAAGATTGATTATTTTTAGAAAAGCAATAAATATAGATGTACATAGAAATATTAAAAAAAAGTACTTTATTTTCCTTCCAAAATATTTATTTATCAACAAATTAATATATGACCCTCTCACATAGTGAACCATACAGACATTTAAAAATTTCGGAATATAAAGATTGTATTTGGAAATTATAGTAAATTAAATTCGTTGATCAGATTTAAGCACAGAAATCCAAAAATAGATCATCAATTAAGTTCGTCTGCCATGCTACATGCTTTAAGTACCCATCATTTACAGTGGAGACATTGTACCTAAACCTTCAGGAATTTTAACTTGCAATAGAACTAAGCAACTCTGTGAGACTGAAGTATCAGTTTTATGTTGTAATTGGCATTAAAATAACATTTTATCTATGAAACTGCAACAGATACTTCATATAGTGGTGGTTATAATAAAAGGATTGCACTAATTGAAGCTCATAGTAAAATCCATAGATTGCATTTACATATTGCTTGACAACTCTAATGCTAATAATGCAAATACAAAAGCTTATAAAACTAAAACATTTATAAAACTCATTGTTCACAATATACCTAATTTCATCTAAAAGACTTTTAATAACCATTAATTATTTCAAATTTAATTTAATTATAGATTTTTTTAGGTACTTATATTTTTAAATCATGGTGTATAATTTTAGTTCTTTTATTTCAGTTTAGTTACAATTTTGATACATTTTCAGGAAAATTAGATCACTAGTTCGTTAAAAATGCATTGGTCTATTTAAAAAATGCATAATCAGTATTTTCAAGAAAAATTTAATTTTTTTTAAAACATTACACTAGTCTCCTAAATTGAAATTCTTATACTAATTATGTGTATTTCAACAAATATAATAATAAATAAGATATTGCTTTTTAAAATTGTTCAAAAATTTATAAATATTAATAGTTATGTATTTTACTTTAAAAAATAATAATCAATTTCAATCAATAACCATATACTAAAATACAATAGAGCACACGCGAATAATCCTGAAAGACGAGTTATCTTGTCCATCGCGATGAAATCAGCAAATATCACAATTTTTAAATTAATAATTTATCAAGCAATATTGATGTAAGCACAACATATTGTCCTCAAAAGAGATTAAAACTAGAAAATAAATATGAATCTAAAAATATTTTGAAGTAAATGGGAAAAAAAAATATGAATAAACAAATAGCACTTGCAGTAGTCACTGCCTTTAATATATATTTTTAAAATCCTCGTCAAAAATGAACTCTAAAATTATGTACTTAAGTTAGAAAGAAAAAAATTTATCTAAATTAAACAAATCACTACTGAGAAAGGCTGGATTGAAAACATTTAAATAAATCGGATTTCACAGATAAAACTTCAAGATGGTTCTTATAATCCTTTACAGTCTTTTCCCAATTTTCTGCAACAATAAAACAGGTTTTAATGTTTTTAACTCACTTTACTCAATATTGATACATTAGATTTTAATAGTGTTTTTGTTTCCTCCTCGTTTATGTGCACACAAAGAAACATTCCAAAAACTATTTTTCTTTGGCACAAAGAAAAATAGTAATTGATACATAAAAATAAATACATAATTTTGACTTAAATTTTAAGAAATATTCTAACAATATGTGAAATTTTCAAAATTTGTACTAGAAAACATTATAATTCAAATTTTTGTTAAACTGACATTCTGGAATTTTTTTCTTTCTTTCATTTACAACAACACTAATTTAATCCAACACAACCATTTAACAGAGAAAAAGCTTGGCATATTTTTAACATGATGTTTAGAGCCATAAAAAAAAATTATCACTTTTTGTAATATATGCTATGAATGTAAAAATCGAAAAAGGAGATAATTACCTCGCATATTTTAAACATAATGCATAATGAAAAAAAAAGCAAATTGCTCTGGAGTAAAGAGTAGCACTGCATAAAAAAATAGACTATAAAAAGGGCATTACGGTATCCTATAAAAATAGACTGAATCTTCCTAAAACAAAAAATTTCTCGGATTTTTTTTTAAATTAAAGGCCATGGAATAATTTTAATTGATATTCCAGTGAATCAAGAAACCGTATGCTTATGCTAAGAAGAAAAAAAAATTAGAATGCATAAAACTTAAAAATAAATTTAATAAAACTTATACAAACGTACTTGCGGAATAAGATTTTTGAGGTTATATTTGTAACAAGATGCATACTGATAGCTAATACTTATATATACTTGCACAATGCAATTTTCTTTAAATTATTTTCAATAATTTAATTTTTAAAATAGGAAAGAAAAAAAGGAACTTAATATTTAGTAGTATGTATGAAATGATGTAATTTAATACACAATCGGGTAATTGAAAATGTAAACAGTTTCCTTATTCATCGTGTAAAACTTTCATAATTTTTCGCATAGGTATAAATTTTATCGATTTAAAAATCCGTCATTCGGTATGAAATTTTCTAAACTTTACAGTATCAACTGAAAGAACGGTGCGCACTGCTTTTTCAAACTACTTTACGAACTTAAAGGATTCAGACAGTTGTCTGCTAAAGTACAGTCAAAGTTAAATTTTTATTGTATTATAAAACCTTTTAAAAAACAAATATATATACCCTATAGATGATAAAATAGTGTTTTCATAACAAAAAAATCAATTTCATGTTCTTTTTTAAATACTAGTTAATTTCTTTTTAGCTTTCGTTTTTAATTAACTTTAACTTCCACTGCTACTGATTCATCTCTTTCGCCCATCACATTGTTGTTTAAACTACAGCTTCCTATTTAAATTCCTTATACAATTGTCTTCTATCAAAAATTATGATGCAGTTGGGTGGTACACCTATTTTAGTTCTTAGTCAAGACACTACAAGGGAATCTGGACGTAAAGTTCAAGTCCAAAATATACAGGCCGCAAAAGCCGTGTCAGATGTCATCCGCACGTGCCTTGGCCCCAGAGCTATGTTAAAAATGCTTCTGGATCCCATGGGAGGTGTTGTTATGACAAATGATGGAAATGCAATTTTACGAGAAATAACTGCTCAGCATCCAGCTGCAAAGACTATGATCGAGATCAGCCGTACACAAGATGAAGAAGTTGGCGATGGCACTACATCTGTCATTGTACTTGCCGGTGAGTTGCTGCATAAGTCACTCCCATTTTTAGAACAAAATACTCATCCTACCGTGATCATCAATGCATATCGACAAGCTCTTGATGATGCTATAAGTCTCCTACACTCAGAAGTCTCAACCCCTGTAGATGTTGATAACGCTGATGAGATGTTGAAAATCATTAATGGATGCTTGAGAACAAAGCCAATGGGTTCCTGGAATGACAAAGCATGCCAGATTGCACTTGATGCTGTCAGGACTGTTCAAATGGAAGTTAATGGCCGTACTGAAATAGATATCAAGCGTTATGCAAAAGTTGAGAAGATTCCTGGTGGAACTATTGAAGATTCTAAAGTATTAAATGGAGTTATGCTGAATAAAGATGTCACACACTCAAAAATGCGCCGGTTCATTAAAAATCCACGAATCATGCTGCTGGACTGTAATTTAGAATACAAGAAAGGTGAAAGCCAAACTGAAATTGAAATTTCAAAGGAGGAAGACTTCACTAAAATTTTGCAATTGGAAGAAAAGTACATACAAGATATGTGTGCAGAAATAATCAAGTTCAAGCCTGATGTTCTCTTTACAGAGAAGGGCGTGAGTGATCTTGCTCAGCACTACTTAGTCAAGGCTAACATCACTGCAGTGCGTAGAGTCCGCAAGACTGATAATAATCGAATCGCCAGAGCCTGTGGTGCTACAGTCGTTAATAGAGTTGACGAATTGAAAGAGGAGGATATTGGCACCAAAGCTGGTCTGTTCAAGATCGAAAAAATTGGAGATGAATATTTCTGTTTTGTAGTGGAATGTGAAAATCCTAAAGCTTGCACTATTCTCTTACGTGGTGCTAGTAAAGATATTCTTGCCGGGATCGAACGTAGTCTTCAAGATGCCATGTGCGTTGCTCGTAACGTTGTTTTGGATCCTTACTTGGTGCCTGGAGGCGGTGCTGTAGAGATGGCCATAGGTCAACGATTAATGGAAAAATCTAAGAGCATCACTGGAATTGATCAGTGGCCCTACAGAGCTGTGGCCGCTGCCCTTGAAGTTATTCCTCGTACCCTCATTCAAAATTGTGGTGGAGATGTTATTCGTTCATTAACAGCTCTACGTGCTAAGCATGCTACATCTGGAAATATAAATTGGGGTATTGACGGAGGAACTGGTCAGCTAGTTGATATGAAGGTATATGGTGTCTGGGAACCTTTAGCTGTTAAATTGCAGGTTTATAAAACCGCTGTAGAGACTGCTATCATGTTATTAAGAATCGACGATATTCTATCCGGTATCAAAAAGAAGGAAGATAATCCACAGATTAACCCCAGCATGGAGCCATCCGAGGAATCTATGAAGGAATAAATTGTTTTGTTCAAGTTTTCTTTTTAACATCATCTATTTCCAACTTCTTTTGTATCACCTTCCATTTTATTTTTCTTATTATTTATACAGAAAAGTTGCTAATGTGTTTACACATTTACTGTGATTCGTTGCTCACGCATTTTTAAGACTAACATAATGTGAACTTAAAATGGCTAATGTATTCAGAATCATGCTGCAACTAATGTTCAACAAAGTTGACTAATGATTTTGGGTGGATTTTCATTTAACAAGCAAGATCTATTGCTTTATATTTTGCTAAAATAGCTATATAAAATAAAGTTACTTAATTATATTGTTCTTTGTCACTTTATTGTGTTTCTAAGATTATGCCTTTGTGGTTTGTTTGTGTTTTAAATTATTTTACCTTTTCCTATTTTTTTTATTAAAAACATTAATTCCTAATCTTTTATGAATTTTTGCTAGTTTTTCAAATATCTTTTATTTAATTTTGCTATTAGTACTAATTATTATTCACAACAAATCTTCCTTGTTTTCGTTTTTTTTTTTTTAAGTCAATGAAATTGTGTTTAACAAAGGTACAAATTAAATTAAAACAACTTTTCATTATCTATTTTATTATGAATAAAATAAAAAGAAGAAATTTTACTTCAGGAATTAATGCTTTCAGGGTAAGAACTAAATTCGTGGGTCATTGCTGTCAATTATGTCTTTCTATTTCATGCATAAATAAATGTAAATCAATACATAGAAAACTAATTTAAATCTTTTAAATTGGTTGTAATATGGATTTCGCATTTATACGCGATTTAAAAAATATAATTGTGATTCGTATTCGCATGATCTAAAAATTATTTGTATTTTGCGAGTTAAAACTTCAATATTGCAATTCATATTTATTATTCGTGTAAGAAGTAAGTTTTTCTTGAATTAGGTTCTATAAGGGTGAGATATTCCTCATTGGTAAGTAATTTAACATTCAGTGTCTCAATTACCCCTAATTGGCTTATGCTTTGTGTTCCTATTTTTTGTTTTTAACAAGTTAGCTGCTGTATATCCCAACAATGTATTTAACTTATAATCATTTCAAAATTCATTGTTGTAAGTTTTTTTTTTTGTAGATAAAGTGAAATAAATTATTCAAAAAACATATCTGACAAGTCACTAAAGTAAATTCTTACATTATGAGAGAGATATTGTATTTACAACTCTTCATTTAGGATTCGTCAAGTTGACTTTTATCAATTATAAGAAGTTAGGATATTATTGTAGCATGTTGAAAGGTAGCAAATGTAAAATTTTATCCTTTATCTATATTTTAATGAAAATGTAAGATTATTTCCCTTAAGCTATGATAATTTGATATAAAAATAATATTTTGAAAAATATAGTCTATTTATTAGCTATAGAATAACTAAATTACACAGTTGACGACTGCTGAATTTTCTAGTAGACTACTAGATTTCTACTGGTTTAGTTAAAATTCTAGTTTTAGTACATTTTTGAGTAAGTTTGATTTAGTAAGTTTCCTAAAATGATCCCTTTTCAAATAAAATTTTCACTAATTTATTTCTTATTTGAAAATTTAAATTATTGCCAAATCAATATATAATGAAGTGAGTTTTATTTATAATAATCAGTTTGAAGCTTTTTTTTTCTAAAGTTTTTAGTTTATTTTTTTATCAGATCTCCCTTCTAAAATTAGCTGAATTTTCAATGAATTAATTTATAATATATTAAACTTACTTTCATGAATTAAATTTCTATTACTATTCAAAACTATAAGTAAACATTATAAAAACATTTCAAGTTCATTTAATATCAATCATAAATGGAAAAAAATTGCAGATCATTTATAGTTATTTTGATGACTTAATTTCTAATCCCTAAGTTTCCCTGTGTGTAGAATATATGGTTTATATTGCAATAGTTATGAAATTTATATTTCGTGAAATGTACAGGATTTTTTTTCTTTCCATATTAGCAGCTATGGCATTAGATGTAATTATCTAGGGTTTTAACTAAATATTAGTAAGGAAAATAATTCTTCTTAGTCAGCACAACAGCCCCTAGCAAGCCTTGGCTGCCTCAACAACTGACAGACGCCAGCACCTCCTATCCATTGCAACTCCCTTCCAATTTCTAATCATTAAGGTTTTCGGGTCATTTCCATGTCGTTGAACCATCTAATAGGGGATATACCTTGCACATTGCTGAGGTTTCTGAACTTGAGGTCTTTTACAGGGTGGGGTAGTTGGTCTCACACCCAACATAGAGGACCAGTCCCCAGGGGCAGTGTGCCCGACTATACCCGGGAAAGAAAAAAAAAATGCTAGGGTATAATTTTACCAGTGCTAATAATTTATTTTGGAGTTTTTTTTTGATTTTATAAAAAGGTTTTATTAACTGCATCAATAAATCAAAGCAACATTAGTATAAAAAAAATAATTGAACATTGTTTAAAACAATTGAAATGTGTTATTTTTTAAGGGCAAAAGGAACTAATCAAAAATTTTATAACGAAAAGCTTTTTTTGAAATATTTTGCGAATGGAAATGGAATTACTTGCTAAAAATCCCATCTTTTATGTGTTTTTTTTTTTTTTTTTAANTAGGTTTTTTTTTTTTTTTTTTTTCAAAATGAAATGTTGGAAATTTATTTTTGTTCAACTGCATTTGATTTACAATTTTCCAAATTATAAATAATCAGTTTGAAGTAAAGTTTCTCACATTTATTTTGAATGCATGACAAAATTTAATGCGAAATAATGAAAAAAAAGCATGGAATTTCTGAACTGCTCACATATTTGAAAAAGTAAGAAAAAATAATTTTATTGACAAACAATTCTATTGTAAAAGAAAATACAAGTAATGAAAAATTAGAGAAATAAGCAAATTTTACTGTAAATAAAAAAACTAAGTCATAAAAAACTGGAAGAATTGGCAAAAAACTGGATACTTCTTTGAAAAGTCAGTGGCATGCCATTGTGTAACCCTACGCTACACCTCGACATAGGTTTGAAGTTTTCGAAGTTAACTTTTATAAGAGTTGAACATGCAAAACAAGATGAATACTAGAATTAAATACACAGCAACAGATTTATTGATTGGGTGCATCTTTTTGGAAAGGTATAGAGAGATCTTGTTCAAGTAATGATGGACAGTGTTCAGAATAAGAAATCTATGACACATAGAATGAGGGAAGGACTAAACAAGGAATTTTCATAAAAAGAAAATTTTCAATAAGCTTTGGCTATTGGCCATAATTCTAAAAACAGAAGTATTGCCTTACAAACTTGTGACTGTTTTAAGATATCTCTCCGGATCTTAATACCATAGAGAATGCATGGGTTATCTGCAAGCAGAGACACAAAATGTTTGTTTGTTTAAGAATTTTAGATTCAAAAATAATATAAGAGGTAAGAACTATAAAAATCCTAATAGACTTTAAGCCGAGACAAGTAAAACTGATTCAACAAAATTTATTAATATTTCCAATAAAATTGTCTTTTAAAATTTTATGTTGATTCAATTATCATGCTTGCTATTTTATACCCACTGATTCCATTTATCACCTTGAAAGGAAATAGCAAGCTCTCTCTGACCACATAATTTTAATAGTTTTTTGAGAGATTATCTGTATGCACTTGATAATCAGGTATCTGTTAAAAATAGAGAGCAGATAGATAAGGGCATTTAAATAAAGTTCTTACTTTTAAAAATTGATTTTAAAAAAATTTCACATGCAAGGAATATTTTTAATCATATTAAACAAATATAATTTTATATTTTCTTCTATTTTCATAATTTTGAAAAAAATTAAAAATTAATATAATATGTTCCAATTTTCTTATCTTTCAATTTCATAGCTTCTATTCGATATCAGCTTGTTTGGATCAACTTTAAATAATCGAAGTTATGTTTCAAATGTTTTTTTGTTGTTGTTTAAAATAAGGCTGAAAAAGTGATAACTTTTCACTGTGTATCAATAGAGAGCTAGATACATATATTCCTGATTAAAATGAAATTTTTTAGATTCCAAGGAATTTTGCAACAACCACATAGCCGAACATGTTTGACTTAACTTATATCCTCCTACTTTTTAATGGAGTCTATATTACAATAAGGTATAGGGGAAAAAAGCACACAGCTAATTTTCCTTTGTAAAGACATGGTTTCCAATAAAACAGGTCCCGCAGTGGACTGATCGTTAAGACACGGTTCCCAGCAGATCACCGAAGTCAAGCATCACTGGCTGCGGTCAGTGTGCGGGTGGGTGACCACTTGGATCAGTCTGCGTAGGGACCGAGGGTGTGCGGTATTGGTCCTCGTTAAACTGTGCTACCGTAAAGTGCTCGACTTCGCGCGCAGGTCGTCGGGCTACCGAAGCGGGGGTGCCATCCCCTCCGCAGAGGATCAAAATTGTGATGGCATGTCTTCGGATCATCCTCCAGGATGCTTCCCAGACCGTCGCCAATAGCCCATTGTGCAGCTCTAGTGCGACGTAAATTAACAACAACAACAACAACATCCAATAAAACAGCGAAGTCAAGCATCACTGATTGGTCATTAAGCAGATGGGTTACCACTTTGGTCAGTCTGCGTAGGAAATGAGGGTGCGCGGTATCGGTCCTCTTTAAAACTGTTGGATCGTAAAGTGCACGACTTCAGTCGCAGGTGCTGGATTAATAAAATGAGGAGGCCATCCCCTCTGCATAGGATTAAAATTGTGATGGCATGTCCTAGGATCATCTTTACGGATGTTTCCCAGACCATCGCCAATAGCCCATTGTGCAGCTCTTGTACGACGTTAATACCTACCTACCTAGCATGAACAAACAAAGCAATCTTAAAGACAAACGTTTTCTTAATGAAATATTTTCTCAACGAACTTTAAATTTAATATAGCTAATAACTATTTACTCGTGAAACTCTCAGTAATGATCCAGATGAGCAATTCCACACCTTCCCAGCTTTATTCAATTTGAAATTTTTCTTTTAAACGTTCTTTTAGGGTTACAAAATGATAGTTTTAATTTAATCTTTCGATTGACTTAAAATCAAATATTTTTTCAAGAATTTTAATTAAAATCCCTTCACCTCACGAACCAAATAATCAGCAAATTGTAATTTCCATCTACAGTAATAATACAGCTGTTAATACAATATATAGCAGTTAATATTATAGTAACCGCCTGGATTTGAATTTTGTTGTTTGTTTTTTATTTTAATTTTGTGCACTCCAACGCTCTAACGGATATTCTTATTTATGTTCTAATTGTTTTTCTAAAATGAAAAATGCCATTTATTTAATTGAAATAATTTTCTTCTAAACATTATTGTTTTTATTTATGTTCACTTGACTATCCATCTATTTTTTTCAATAAGTCAGCTTTACTAACAATTATTTATACCGGAATGTTGAAATGTGAGTAGCTTTGGCATTTGTGAGCGACCAATAAATTGATACAATTTGCTTTATTTTTATCTATATATTTATTTTGTTTGAAATTTTACATATAAATTGTTGGTGATTCCTTACTTAAATTCATTATAAATTTGTATATAAAATCGCATTGCAAGTAAATATATTGTGTTGATTTTTTTTTCAATAATGGCTTTGGAAACTCGAGCATAAATGTCTATTGTGAACTATAAATTTATTGTCGTTGCTTCACTGTTAATTAATTATTTTTATTAAATATACATTGTTGATGTTTGCTATTTAATAAGAAATATAAACGTTAAATTATATTTTTATTATGGGTTAGTTCTCTTAGATAACATGAAATAATTAAAGTTGCTTCTTTATGATTTTATGAATTTTCACTCTAAAATTTCTTAAAAGCAGATTATTAGCTGCTAAACCATTTTGTATAATCTAGACAAAATAGATTTTTAGAAATCGCTTATAACATAAGATTGTAATGATGTAATCTCTTGAGTATATGTAGACTTCAAACCAGCGATGAAAATTTAGGGGTTCAAAAACTTAATAATACGGTAGAGGAACTTGCAAAAAAAAAATTCACAATTACATTATTTGCGTTTTGGTACACATCTAAAATTATTTATTGAAATTAATAACATTCTAAACCTAATTAGGTTCATTGAAAATTAGTATTTATTTAATAAAAAAAGGTAAAATAATATTAATAAATATATTCAACATAGAGATTAAGATGCTGTGACCAGATAATAAATAAAGAAAGAAAACAGAGAAAGTAAAAAGTAACAAAATATTATATTAAAAATTAATTATTTATAAAATTTTAAATAAAGTCAATTCTAACAACAAAAAATATTATTTCATTGAGGACAAATTATACTGTTAGTATATGAACGCAAAGCACAACATAACATGTAATTTTGAAATTTCAACAAATTTAAAAGAATTTTGTTTAATTTAAAAAAATTTTGTACCAGACACTTCTAGTTTTTCCATTTGAATACCATGCATTTAAATTCCATTCCATGTGTAGAACAATAAAATTATTACAACATTTTTGTTTTAAATGCATGAAATTCGATGCGATTTTTTTCAATTCCAATTATTGAAAGCTTATTCTGTATAATTCATTATAATAAAGCATCCTTAATATACTTTCAAGAAGTCAAAATTTTCACTAATGTGTATGATTTTAGAAACATTTGTAGAACATTTTGGCTACAATTGTCATCATGTCGCCTATACTGGCATGAACCCTAAGTGTATGTAATCTCTTTCAAGCACACTTTCCTACAAATTATATACATAAATTTTCTTTTAATAAATATTTAAAATGAATTTTTTTTGTTTGATTTTTTTGATTAAACAATTTTTTATTTTAGTATCACTTTTTTATGAGCTGGGCAATTATATCATATAATTTCAAATTAATTTCTGATAATTTGTCAGTTATTAATGTGCTTAATTTTTCTTAGCCCCGATTTTACCACATTTATATAAACTTGCCTTCGTGTATGTCTGTCCGGGTGGAATTTTGTAATCGATTTTAAACTAACTTCCCGACTAGCTACAAACTTCAAATTTGGCACATAGTTCAGAATTGGATGACAATGCATGAAAATGAAGAGAAAAAAGACATACAAAGTAAAATAAAATTAAAATTTAAAAAAAAAATTATTTTCGAGATTGTCTTTTGTTGTCGATTCCATTATTTCAAATTAGTATTACATGTCAGGTGAAAAGATTTTTATTGTCGGAGTATTTTTATTGGCTGAAAAATCACGTGGTAGGATCCAGTTTTTCCTCATTCATTTCCAGATTGTTTTGGTTGTCATCAGCATAAAACTAATGAAAGTCGTAAAGGTATTGTTTTTCTATAAAGATTTTTGTATCCCTAATTTAAAATGAAAGTTCTATTATTTTAGTAGTGGTCTTGTAGTAGTCTTGACTACTCTTGACTAAGAAAAATAATCTAAATAAAAATATATATTTTTAAAAACCACGTTTTTTGTAGTGAAGAATAATAATTGAAAAGTAATAATTTTTAAAAAATATAAAATAAAAATTAAAAAAATTATAATTTAAAATAAAAAAATTCAAAATAAAAAACAATATTTTTAAAAACCACGTTTTTGTAGTGGAGAATAATAATTAAAAAAAAATTGAAAAACGAAAAACGTGGGGCGAATGAAATACATAACAGTACATATACGCATATATATACACATTTTCTATACACATTTACACATGCACAGCTACATACATATGCATATACACAAACATATTCCAGATCTACATTCAGATACAATTACAGTTACAGATATACATAAACATATTCTCAAGAGCACACATACACACACTAATATAACATTACTGTTATGTATTTCATGCGCCCCACGTTTTTCGTTTTTCAAAATTTTTTTAAAATTATTATTCTCTACTACAGAAACGTGGTTTTTAAAAATATTGTTTTTTATTTTGAATTTTTTTCGTTTTCTTGCTTCGTGCATTTTTTATTACTAATCTGACAGAGACTGTAAAATCAGGGTTCCATTGTATTAAATATTTAGTAAAACTTTTTTTAATTCTTTTATCTAATAAAAAGATTTTTTTAAACTTGAGCTGTTATAATTGTAGCTAATTCTTATCAAACTTTTCTTGGCATATTGTCGACGCTAATATATCAATGAACTAACTACACGTGAAGACCCGGCTTATACTAGTAGAAAAGCAACCAAGTTACTTTCATAAAGTTCAGGTTTCAACTAGAAGATACATAAAGTAATGAACTTCTAAAATGCAGTTACTTTAAATCTTTGTTTGACCATAGATTCAACAAGTATTAAATGTTGATGTAATATGTTAATTAAATGAATTTTTTAGTAATGTTTTAAGGTTATTTTTTTAATGTCTCATTTTTTCCCTTGCTTTAGTTACCAACCATATATTCTTACACAGGACCTTTGTACTAAAATTTATAGAGTCAATCTGCAACATTATCTTATTATCTTTGACCTTCACTCAGTCAGAATAAGGTTTGTAAAAAAAAAATAGACTATAATCTTACTAACATATAACAAAATTTTCAATTGTAAATTCTCAAAAAATTACGCATGAAAACTTTGTTTAAATCTGATTTGATTTTTATTCAATGATTTTAAGATTTAAAGATTGGGCAGCTCTTACGAGCAAGGCATGTCGACCAGTGGTCTATTGTACCCGTTTATTCAATGATGCTTAAAAAACAGAAATATTCAATACTTTTAATGAATTATTTTTCGAACTACAGAGCAATAAAAACGAGGGATACCAAATTGGCCCCAATTGTCTGTCTAGTGTTAAATTTTTAAAAAATGTCTTTTATTGCAGATTTATGTATGCATTTATTTTTAGGCAATTAACATATCAATTTTAATTTTCAGACAATAAAAGAAAGAGTGGTAAACCTAAGAAATTGTCTCAGGTTAGTGATAAGCTCCGGTCTCCTGACACTTCTCAGTCCAACATTGATGAATACTTCTCTCCTGTTGCTGCCAATGATGATAATTTATTGCCTGAAAGCTCACTACCCTCACCTGATGCTGCAGCTCTACCATGTGCTACAACATCTTGTGCTTCAGATGTAATTTCCAGAGGTCTGCATAATAATTCATAATTATTTTTTATCTTGGTACTTAGCAGTTAAAGGGACTATTGTTGTTGGGGGCCGTTAAAAAAATATGCACACTAAAATGGAAATTTTTTACCCCCCTTCGTACATTACCATGCATAAGGTCTTACTCCCCCCCCCCTTAGAGTATGTACATTTATTAGTCTACCCCTCTTTTTCATAAATTAAATATTTATTTAAGGAGTGTGTAGGAAAACGTCAAATTTAAATTTGGTGCATGCTTATAATGTACGTACTTTGTATAATACCTCCCCTCTCCCCATCGTACAAAACTGTACAAAATACCAAATCCCCTCCCCCCTTCGGGATGTACATACTTTTTGAACGGCCCCTTGGCTGATTTTTTAAGTTTCTCTCAGCACCAACATTGATCCCTATCACCGATGTGTGTGAATTTTAATCTTTTAATGTATTGTAAAATAATCTTAATATTTAACTACATATTGTGATGTTTTTCAGTTTAACGGATTGATATTATTTTAACATAAGTCGATATTCTGGTTGCCCAAATAAAATTTTATCTCCATTTACAATAATATCATAGTATTCAATAATTGTGGTTTTGCAATATTATCTTTTTTATATGCATTGTTATCTTTCGTTAATGATCACTATATTATCACATTTGATGTGCCTGTGTGTAGTTGTTATGGGTAGCTGGTGACCTGAGTAAACCAGAATGTGGCATTGTTGCTACTTGTGTAGAAAACATGGCTTCTTGGTTCTTATAACTGATAAGTACCTTTTTTTTAAATTGTTTCTGAATATTTTAACTTATTTTGTGTTATATGGTCTAATTATCTCCTACAAAGATTCTTTAATCTCACCTTCTAGGTATCTTAATCTATTCTTCAATGTTATTTTTTTAAAAAAAATAATATAAAAACCACAAAAAAGAATATTTTTAAAAAAATGAATGGCGACTATATAATTTGTCTTTTAAAACAAATCGAACTGTATGGATTACTTTTTTATGAGATAACTAAAAAGTTATCCAAATAGTTAAGATTTGAACTTGTGCAAATAGTTTGATTAAAGCGAATACTCGTCAAGATTTCCTGCTTTTAATGTATTTTTAGCTTTAGTTCTATTTCTATATTAATAATGTAAGAAAATCCCATTATTCAGAGAGTCCTCTAACTTATTCCTCTTGAAAGAGTCCTCCTAACTTCTAATATGTAACAAAAAAGAAAAGAAAGTGTTGCGAGCATTAAACTTAATATTATCCACCCGGAAAAAAAAATTCTTTAAGCTGTCATTAATGGTTTCAGGCAAAGTAGTTTTTCATAATTTCCAACCAAGGAGAACACCGACAGTATTTCAGAACAGAATACTGGATACCAACTTTTTGGAGTATTCACTTTAATTATTATTATTTTTTCATTCCCTGTTGATCATCAAAAAGAGACGGAGGGAGGAAAGCTGATGAGTGAATGAACAGTTGAGTATTAAGAAAAGGCTTTGATTTCTTAGAATTATTTATGGGGATAAGAAAAAACTGGTTTAGCATGAGGTTGCATAGTTTTGCTTTCATTTTCAAGAAAGCGAAGATGCCTTGTTTCATTTACTGAAGAACCAATCATTTCATTTAATGATGAAACAATCTTGATGATTATTTCGACAACATTTTTGATTAATTAGACAATATTAAATTTTCTTCTAAATTTGTAATAATTATGTCGAATTTGATTTAATTGTTTAGCTTAATTTCTTTGTTTGTTGCTTTCACATGTTGTGATTGTGCCAACATTTTTAATAATAAGAATAAAAAGACAACAAATGTGGTTGTTAAAAGTGAAAGAAAAATATAATTTAAAACTCTATTTTTATAATTGTATTTCTAAAATCTATTTAATTAAATTATATGTTTTTATACATTGTATGTATTTCTTATTATTATGATTATTTGTATTTTATATTCGCCCCCTCATCAAAGCGTGCGCTTTTCATTGAAATTCAGGATGCTTTATTGGTATTTCACAGTATATAATAGTTTATATTTAAATTTTATTATTTGTCATTTTGAAAAAAAGACTTGATAAATTTAATTTTAAAATATTTTATTGGTCTCATTTATAATTTTTCACATTACTTAATTCTTAATGCTTTATTTTTTGTATTGGATAATATTAACAATGTTCTCAGTTGATCGATCTTATTGTTCTTTCTCATAGATTTTTTTTTTAAAAATATGTTTCATCACTTTTTTTTTAATAAAGATATTATTTATTTTTTATGTCATGTGTGTTTTCAGCTGAGAAAAAGGATGTTGATTGCTCTGAAAATGAAATTAAGGCTCTCAAAACGATTGCAGTTGAGCAGAAAGAGAAGAAAAACAGAGTTACAAACAGTGATACTTCAAAGAAAAAGTAACTAAAAGTTTTTATAAATACAAACTATGTAATGTCTCAACTTGTTTTGCATTAATTTCAAAAATATTATTTTTTAATGATTTTTCTTAGGAAACAGACGCTTCGAAATACACAGTTGACAGAATTCTTTCCTGTACGGCGAAGTAATAGAAAAACCTTTAATAGTGTTATGGTATGTTTATTATTTATAAGTGATGCTCTTGCTTTTATGTACTTCACAAATTGTTATTCTTCACAACTTTTTGTCTGTAATAATGTTGAATAGAAGAAATAAATTTTAATATCTGTCTCTTGAAATTATAACATATGACTTTAGCTTCTCAGATTATTTGTTGAATTAAATCAAAGGTGTATTTTTTTCGGACAAGAAAACCTATTTATTTCAGGGCATTGAAAGTAACTCTAAAAGACCAAATAAAATTTCTAAGAAAAAATGGTTAAAATGAGCAGAACATTTTTTAAAGATACAAATGAAGATTTTTGAAAAATTTGGATTTTTGATTCAACATCTTTTTATGCTAATTAATAATGCATGTAAAAATAGCAAATGTCAACCATTCCAATTTAGACACCATCTGCTTTAGCTCTACAGCCAGCCCTTAGTGAGCCCTAGCTTGTTCTATTCAATTCTATATCCATACATTTTATTCCTTGGGTGGCCTCTGGACCTGGTTTCTAGTGTCCAGTTGATGATCTTTTTTAAGCAGTAATTATTGTCCCTCTTTGTGCGAATATTGTTTCTCCTCTTTCAAACCATGAGAGGTGCTTGGACTCGATAGAGTGAACAATATTGTAGAATATAATAATTATCTAGGCATAACTCTTAACCTTACATATATTCTTTTTCAACATATTTAATGTAAGTGGATATTTATTTTATTGTTATTGAAAATATTAATAGTATAAGATTTTATGAATTTCTTTCTAACACTTGACATCAAATATTTTACCTTTAGTTTTAAATTATCAAAAAAAAAAAATTTTTGAAAAAAAGTGTTTTTTTTTTTTTTCGACCTTGTACACTTGTCTAATATATAATTTTTAGTTTATTGTTTTCAAGTGATTTACATTAATTGTTAATAATTGTACTCAGGGTTATGTTTTTTTGAAGTTTTATTTTTATTACTGGTATATATATTTTCTTTTAAAAAATATTTTTTCAACTGGTTAAATTTTTATCATAAGCTGTTTTTTGATTTTGTATATTTTGTTTTCATAATAAAATTTCTTTCCCTTTTTAGAAAAATGTTCAATGAGTTAAGTAAAGGGAAGATTTTTATCCAAGGTTTTTTTTACTATTTTTTCCTTTGTGATTGTCAATCAACATGCAATAGATAAAGAAGAGTATTGTTCTTAGTTATGACTCATCTTTAAATTCAAATATATAATTTAAGAGTGAAAGTTTACTAAACATGTTTGCAATACTTAAAGTTAAATTTTAAAATATGCATTACTTAAATAATAAGATGAATGAATAATTTATGAAATAAATATTCTTAAATATTAGTATTCTAGTTAGCAAACCATTCAGAAACTATATTTGATTTGAATTTTTACTCTCTTTTTCTTAAACTATGAAAAATTATTTCTGTTTTAGAAAGAGAAACACAAAAATGTGGAGAATGCCATTTTGTGTGCAAAGGAAGATGGATTTGAGATTCGAGAATTTCCTGAAAAAGGTCGAGGAGTTGTAACTACCAAGCCACTTAAAAGAGGGGATTTTGTTCTGGAGTATCATGGTGAACTCATTGACTATACCGAAGCATGTAAAAGAGAGAGGCTTTATGCTATGAAGGAAAACACTGGTTGCTACATGTATTACTTTAAATACAGAAACAAACGTTATTGGTAAGCTCTCATCTGTTTTTATTTCGTCTTAAGAGTTTCTAATTTTGCTAAATTTGTATAAATTCTTACCGAAATTTATTCACTTGCTGAAGCTAAAAGTCAATGGTTACAGCTAATTATTTAGATTGCAGTCAATGTTGGTTGCCACTATAAGATGTGAAAATTAATCATTTGATTTTTTTAAAATTCATCTTTCACAGATATTTCTCTTATGTTTAACCATTTAAAGTTAAATTATTCCTTTTAAAAATTAATATTAAATACTCACTATCAAAATAAATGCTACTTTTTATAATAGTTTTATTTAAGATAATAGTTATGCACGTATTGTAATACAGTTGCGAAATCAGTGAAATATTCAGGTTATGTTGTAATAAATTTCTTATTTTACAGTATTGATGCCACTAAAGAATCTGGTAGATTGGGCCGACTGGTGAATCACAGTAAAAAAGGGAATCTAAAGACTCAGCCCATTTTCTTGCAAGACTGTCCTCATTTGGCTCTCTTTGCTGGCAAGGACATTGAAGCCGGTGAAGAGCTCACTTATGATTATGGTGACCGAAGTAAGGAGGCCCTGGAGTTCCACCCATGGCTGGCATTATAGTAATACAGATTCTTGTACGATGTGTGTTCTTGTATATAGTTTTATTGCATTTTTCCATCTGTTTATTCATGAATCCATCACTTTTAATAATAAAAACAAAGTAGCTTTTACCACAATTGTAGTTTTGTTCTTGTGACTTTCATAAGCTTTTTACATAATTAGCACCAAGGTTATATTTTATTTATTTTTTAATAGAAAAAATACTTTTTTTTAACAAAAAGAGAAACCCAGCTATAAATTGTACTATTACAGTTTAGATATATATTATTTTATTGTTAAGTTATAACTTTTTACCGTCTGTTTTTATGATAATTCTAATACCATATTTATGAATAGATATTATGCCATTCAATAGTGCAGAGGATTTTTGTTAAATATTATTTTCTTTGTGGAAATAAGATGTTTTTGTACACTGTGCTGCTATTTGTAGGAAATTCTCAGAAGCTTTAAAATACCTTTCTGGAAATAATGCAAAGAAACTGAGTATTAGCACAACTTTTAAATTCTACTTCACTGAAATTTTAACCATTCATAATAATAATCCATTTCATTTATGAACTTCATTATGAATTTCCATCCATTTCATTATGAATCCATTTCATTATGAATTATTTTACAGCATTTATGAACTTTTACTAGTTGAGGATGACAGTACACCTGAATATTAAAATATAATATATATTTACAAGATTTTTTCAGTAAGAAAGATATTCCTATCTTTGACAAATTAAATTTGAAGGATGTTTCAAAGTCACCAGATAAGTTCACATTTTATTGTCAACATTTAAAAAAAATTTCTTGCATTTTGAACTTTATTTCTATCACTACTAAATATCAAAATTCACAGAAGATGATGCAATAAACAGAAGAATTTATATAGCTTTGTAGCTAAGTGAAGAAAACAGTTTGACATAAAATCATCATTTATATTTTCCAAGAATGTTGCATGATTAAACCTATTAATGAACTGTTCTTTTTCTGTTATAAAGTTTCATGTCTTACACACAATGGAAAAAGTTTGTCACTTGGAAAATAATCAACGAGGTTGAATGCAAATAATTATTCCAAAAATTTTTTTTTTGTAATGCTCAATTATTTTATCCTCATTAACTAGATCAATATATAAAATTTTACAGAAAAAGATATTTTATTGCTTAAAATTAATCTTTGAATTTACATATGAAGTAAGGGGTCCGGTTCATTTCGTCGACAATGTATTTTATCCTATGTGTTCCTCAAACATTTATAAGTTCTTTTACTTTATAAAATAGACATCTTTAATGTAACAAAAAGAAAAAAATTCCCAATGACTCCACACCCTTGGTATGCAATCGAAATGATCGTGTAAAAAATGGTTCAAAATCATAGGAAGGGAGGAAACCTGCCTAATTGGATTTTATGATTTAAAATATTTAGAAAAAAAAACTCAACTAATTATGATATAACAAACGAATTGACTTATCATTGAGGAGAGTTGTCCATATGCATCTGATTTTATTTTCATTAATGTTTATTTAAAAAAGTTTAGTCAACTTATTTTTTAACCCAAATATTAAAATGTGTTTCTTTTGATCTGCCAGTGAATAAAATTTTATTTAAATTAGTAAAATTCGCAATGAGAGTATATATTTTAAAGATGATCACTGACGAAAGTCCTTTAAAAAGTGTAAATGGAAATGTTTTTAAAAAAATATTTTGTGAAGAGCAAATACTAACACGCTTGCAACATTACACCTATGTTTCTAAATATTTTTGGTCCTGTGAGTAGCACTTTAATTATTGTAGGAGTCTACAACCGCTTCGATAAATATCTAAACATCGTGTTTGCGTGCCTCTAGTTCTTAGAAAACTCTAATAGTGGTAACAAAACTAAGACTAAGTTCGCTTTCGATTATTTAGTTCGAATAAGCATATTCATTCATCCTGTCCTAATGTTAAAGATGCTGAATAAAAAGTTGAAAATTGAATTGAATTAATCATTAAGAAAGTCTTTTTCCACCATAAAAAAACCTAGAAATTTTTTTTTTACTTATGCAAATATAATTACTTAAGGCCTATAATTATTTTCATCTCTGTGAGAATCAGATCAACTCTGATTTTGTTAAAATATGTCTAAAAATGTTGAAAATTTTTACAGCAATAAAGTTAGCTCCCCCCCCCCCNAGTTAGCCCCCCCCCCCCTCTGAAATAGTGTCAAATTTTCCTTACATATTTTTATTACTTTTAATTCTACGAATATCTCATTTTATTAATTTGATTTGATATTAAAAATAATTTGATTGCTAACTTCACACTATCAACTGTTGATCACGGTTCACATATTATGCTTGGTAATGTTCTGAAGACAATCCTGAAAACAAGTGTCGAGCTATTACGATTTAGATATAGAAAAGTAGATTTTGATACGTCAACCGTTCTCGATTAAACGCTTCTCAACTACCTATCAATTTATTTAAAAAGCAAACTTTTTTTAAGTGCAATTGGAACAATACACAACAATAAAGAATTTTACTTTAGTACAAAAATTAAATAATAGCATTTTCTAATTAATAATAAAAATATTTAGATTAAATCTCTAAAATAAGATTATGCATGACACTATCAGAGAAATTACCATTACGACGAAATACCCTGTCGATGAAACGACCATGTCGACGAAATGACCCTGTAGATGAAACGACTAGTCAACGAAGTGGCCTGTCGATGAAACGACCCTGTCGGCGAAATGACCTAGTCGATGAAATGAATGCAACTCGAAGTAAGTAGGTGTATTTTTTGATTAAAAAAATTGCCAGGCTTAGAATAAAAACCGTAGTATCGGGGAAATTATTTTGGATAAATCGAGAAAGTTTCTTCTGAAATTGCCAAATTAGCTACAGTAGGAAAAAATATTAATACTCTTAAAAAAATAAGTTATTGCCACTAATTCTTTTCCTTTGTAGTTTTAAACTGTCATTTGGAATTGGCTTATTAAGTTTGATTTGTATTGTCCCTTATCTAGTGGAAATAAATTTATGATCCTTTGCTTAGATGAATTGTACACTCTATTGTGTATTCCTATCATAAAATGATGGCTCATTTTCTTCCTTTTGAATTTTTTGTAAGGATTTCTTACCACTAATGTGAATGTTTTGCAGGGGCCCCCACCAGGGGGGAGGGTGGGCGCATTATGCGCCCACTTAAAGCTTGGGGGGGATTTTTACACTAAATAAAACGAATAATTTGGGCAGGGGGGAATTTAGAATTTGCCCAAGAGCTTGGGGGGGATGGGGGCCACTGATGTTTTGAAATAATATTTCAAGCATAGTTGTCGTTATCTTTATGTCTGGAAATAGATTTTCCTTCCGGAATATGAATCAGGTTAGGGCAGTGTTTCAAAAACTTATGACTTTTGTGTACCCTTTCTAAATTTTTCGTAACGCTGTGTACCACTAACCAGAAAATTAATGTATTTTTTTACTATAAAAAATTGCACAGAAGTTAAAAATCACAACTGGCTGTTGATATCACTAATTATTAACTGTCAACTCTGCAAAAAATAGCCAATAGAAAAATACGTAACCATAAATTTTTATGGCTAGCTTTATTTTTAAGTAATTTTCGTTTGTTGCAAGATATTTCGCATAAGAACACGTACCCCAGATAAACTATTCCCGTACCCCTGGGGGTACACGTACCACACTTTGGGAAACACTGGGTTAAGGTATAGGAATGAATTCTTTCAGGATAGAATCCCCCCCCTCTGAAATAGACTTTCATATACACGAATTCTGCTAAATTATTTTAATCTTGCCATAAAGGGCATACCCTTTACTTTCATTCATGCAAAATGTTAGTTAATTAAGCACATCGTTTTTTTTTTGCTCATATTTAGTTTTTCACATTATATAAGACTTAGTTGTATTTGTGTTTTCTTTAATTTTAGCATATTCTCATTTTTTTTACTATCAAATATATATATATATCAAAACGTTTTGCGCAGATTTAACGAATGAGTAGAGACAACAAGTAAAGAGTTAAAGTAACAGTTTTCAACTTTATTTAATTAAATAAAAAATTTAGATATTATCCGCAAAGTTTTGATAAATAAATGTAATTTAGTTTAGAGTTATTTAATATCACAGAGGATTGCAACACCTCGCATAATCCAATGATTTGGGTGAATGTTAGTCTTTAGCCAGAGAGGCGTGATGTAGGTTAGGTCAGTTCGTCTTGGTTTCTTGTATACAGGGCACTGATAGAGAGCTGGGTCTTTTGGATCAGTAGAATTTATGGCATAGATGTGAACAACTGGGAGAAGTGTGAAAAGAACTTTGGGTGATGGTTCAATCAGCATGGCATTTTTCCTATCCCAAGAAGCTCCATCAAGGTAAAGCCCATACACATAAACACCTTCCTATACAAAAATATAAATAAATATAATAGTAAAATAATAGATCAGGTCTATTTATCTCTATTATGGATCATAACTGAAAGTTTATTTCTTTATACAGTTTAGGCGTTTCAGAGAGACCCCAATATTGCGATCCTTCCATTATAAAGACCTACACGAACTCCTCTTTACTGTTCTATAGGTAATGTTATTTTAACATCCGAACTGAATTTTGTTTACTGTTTTTTTAATTCCCAGAAAATCCATGTCCAATCATGTGTTAGATATTTTTGTACTTTCAAAACTAATATTTTTCCAATGACAACAAGTCAATCAATAACTGTTCAAACAGATAACTATAACTTGAGATAACTCTTCAAACCACTATTGCTTTAGATGTTACCACTCAATAAACATGAAACATATTGAATTCTCTAGGAATGAAGAAAGAGAGTTACAGGACCACCTATTCTTACCCTTGAATATTACAAGCATAATTTATAGCAAAAAAAAATTTGAGAAAACTTACATTTAACTAACATTAAAACAACAAATACTTACTTTTATTGAGAACTTGAAGAGAATATTGCACAGTTACTTAAAAGTCATAATTTTCTGCATAATTATAATTTTTCAGAGTATTCAATATTCATCAATCATATTTTTCTTGTTTGAAAATTGTATTTACTTCTTTTGTGAAGTGTCGCTTTGAATTTAAAACATAGTATTGGCATTGTTCTTCGTTCTTGATTTTAGTTATGCTCAATTTCTGGACATATCTTATCTAGCAAAAATGGCTGCTCCTAACTGATATAACATTATAAATGCTGAGAGCAGAAATTATGAATTTTAAAGGAAATGTATAGTTGAGCTAACATCAAAATCACAAATTGCTAAATTATTCAAGATCTCGAAAATTTTCTTCATAAAATTGAGAAATCGATGTAAATCTAAAGGTAGAGGAAAAATAGTGATCTAATTTCATGTCATTTTTGGAAAGTAACATTTTAAAATCCAGAGAAAGCACTGAATGACTGGCTAAAGTTTATGCACAATACTAAAATACATTATTTAAAATTTTTTTTAAATGAATTTTTAACTTACATGTACGCTATTAAATAATACTTGTTATTAAAAACTGCATATTAGTCAGTTTGAAAATAGTATTATTAGAACAGTAGTATGTTTTTGCCGAAACAAGTCCATTATTTATGAAATATAAGTAAATACTTGCACTAATTTTAAGTAGTCACAATATAGCGACCTCATGTTATAACTTCCATTGTCGTTTGAAACACAGAGGAGGTTATATCGCAGGTTTGCTGAAACATTCCTATTGGAAAAATCTTAAGTTATAACGTCCGTTTTCGTTTGAACCACATGGTATAACCCAGTTTACTCGCATGAAGATTCAGATTTCTTTAGTTGTCATTAGCATAAAATTAAAAAATCACAAAGGTATTATTTGTAATATCTATTTATCATTTCCCAACATAGTTTGCTATTATTGCGTTTTTAAATATATTAATCTCTATTAAAAGCTTAAAACTAAAAGTAATGTTTCTTTACTATAAAGTAATCTTTACTCTATGTCACATTGCCTAGTTATGCAACATTTTATTATAAACATAGTTAAAATGGGATAAAATCATTTTTACTTATTCACACTTTAAGAAAGAAATATATTGAAAAAATTTAAATTCATTAATCACAATGAATAACACACGCGATTTACGAACAGCTATTGTATTAAGCTGTCTGCCCCACTGCGTTTATCAGGCAAGCTGAAGTACATCTTTTCATCTGATTTGCAAACATAAATAAAATCTGTTTTTTATGCTAAATTCTTGTACTTAAGTGGCTCTAAATTATGTTTTAAAAAATTATTGTCATGCAAAGAGTTCCTATTAAAATTTCAGCATTCTAACTGTATTAAGAAAGTTTTCTAAATTTCGCTTGATGACAAATTCCCAATGGTGATAAATTTTGTCCGTGGAGATCAGGGTCAGATAACAGTGAGTCGAAACTTATATTGTTCTCAAACATAGAATTCCAATTGAAATTCAATCACTTTAGCTAGTCAAAATGTGGCTGAAATTTCTATTGATGATTTCTTTTTGGTGATAAATTCTACTTATAGCTGTTAGTAAAATTGTAGACATTAGGAAGCTTGTATTGTTGTCGAACACAGAGCTTTGGTCAAAATTTGAGTGCAATTTTTTTGTGTAAGATTTAATAGTTAAAAACACGAAAGTACGTTAATAGAAAAAAAGTGAAAATAGGGTTGTACCTTTGGAGGATCTTTGACACTTTCCCGAGTGAGTTGCGTGACATCATTGTGAAGTGTGACAGAATCCAATGCCCAACCTTTGTTAGCCCTGCTTACTTCTTGTCTCATAGCAGTCAAAAATCCTATTTAGAAAAATAGATACATATAGTAAAAAGCATACATCTATGAAATACCATTTATACACGGATAAATTATTTATACACGTATAAATTATTTATACATATAAAACACTATTTGTATTTATAAACACTATTTATACTTATAAACACTATTCATACATCATATATAAAACATTTTTCTTCTGATACTAAAAGTTTTTGTTCAGTAAGTAATGAAAAAAGATATCACCATGAAAAATTTCAGTTCTAATGATAGGATTTTCACTAAGAAAGAGCAAATCTTAATGGTTTGAAGGGGGGAGCTCAAATATTCAAATAATTTAGAGCTAAAAAACCACTAAATTAACTACAAACACAGAAACAAACACAGAAATGTTCTTTTTTTAAATAAACACACTTTTTTTACGAGTTTAAATTTCTGATATCAAAATATAAGAAGTAGCCACAATCTGGAAAATATTGTCCTAATAGTTAAGGCAAGACAGCAGTCTAAAGTTTGGGCTTTTAAACGTTAATTTCATTTTTTGCATATTCCACCTTATCTCAGGAAGTTTTAAAGCGAATTGAAAATTTTCTGCATACAATTATAAGTGCGCTTTTCCAAAGATATATATGAAGATATAAATATTTAAAATTTGGTTACAAGCAAAAAAAGTTCTTCAGAAATGAAACTAATCGATCAATTTTGCCATTCAAAACGATATAGTTGAAGATGGTATAAAAACGTGAATTCAAAAATTTTCTAACGTTGTTATAAATAATGATAAATAAATTAATTTTTATTATTAACATGTTATATTTAATTATTGTTTTTATTATTAATTAATATTTGTAAAGAATTACTTTGGATTAAAAAATTTTATTAATGTAAGAAAGAACTTTTTAAATTTGTTTTAAAACTTCTAGAGATCTCACCAAAATTATAATTAATGGGTCCAAACTTTCAACTATTCAGCTTGATTAAATATTATAACCATAATATCCATATTGCAGCCACCAGCAAAATTTGAGGGTTACAATAAGTATTCAGTGCTTTATTTTGTTTCTTAATTAATAGTTAGCGCTAAGTAGTGAACATAATTGAGGTCACCTTTTTGAACCATTAAAACAGGCAGTCAGTTCGTGAAAATCTGATGTTATTAAAGGTGATATTTTTTTTCTTCAACTCTCTATACAACTTACAATGCTTCCAACAACTGTATTGACATAAAATAATTTTCATAGAAAACTAACAGACATAAAAGATAACTTTACAAAGAATAATATTTTGTTCATTCTAAATTACTAAATATAGAAAGAATTGATAAATAACACCTGCAGCAAAAATTTTAAATGGGAAATTATTTAAATAACTAGACCAAGTTTTAAATATTCCTCTATTTTTCAGAAAATACAAGATTAAAAATTAAAAAAACCAACAAAAAAAAACACACACACACACACAGAAGAAAAGGAACTGGTGTATTTTCACATTTGCAAAGGGAAGTGTTATCTATCTTTTATGTCTTAAACAGAAGTTTTATTAATGGCTTTTAAAAAGTAAATAGTAGTAATAGGTAGACTATGTGGTATACCTTGGGGATTGAAAAATCCAGTCATCCAAAAGGAGCTTGGTCTTCCTTTAAACAACCAATTTGAGAACTGAGTATTCCTCTCAAGCAGTTCGGTGAACCAGAATCCCAGAGTGCTTGAGTCCCAGGAAACTTTTTGCCATGTGTTAGGGATTCGGGCATCGTAAATGCTATCTAATGCATCTCTTAAAATCTGGAATTCAAAATGTTAAATATTTAGAAATTCATCCTCAATATCAGGGACCAAAAAAACTTATAATTTTACATGCCGTTAGTCTACAAAATACATCCCTCAACACCTTTTTAAAAATAAAGCATGCAAAATAAAAAAACAGGACACTTTGAATAACTTTTGATCTAATAGTCGGATTTTCAAGTACTAGAACTCAATATTAATGGTTTGAGGGATTAAACTGTTTGCTTATTTGCTGAGGATATTTAAAGTTAAGTACAAAAAGTACTTTCTGTGAATAAACTCTTTTCTCTGCTTACTTTGTTATATCTCTAAAATTTTTGGGGGATTCAAAAATTTATCGCACACAATTTGTTTATCCAAAGATGTTTCCATGTAAGATTACATTTCCTTCATTAAATAGGGTATTGCTATAAGTGAGTCTTACTGTTTTAGATGTAAACTTATTCACAGTGTAAGTTATTCATTCTTTTCCCAGCTTCACACAAATTAATGTTTTATGAAAAATGCATTCCTTAAAAACAACTACACTCTTAAGTTAATATATAATATGTTAAAAAATGAAAAACTATGTAACTAAAGTCAGCCCTGCTTAAAGGAATACCATGGGTTCAAGCCAACTGTATTTAAATAAGGGTTATTTGATTATAAGGGGAATGCAGTAGTGAATCTTAAATGTTATGTTTTACAAAATTTTGCAATGAAATTGTATGTAATACATAATATAATGTTTTGAGGGAATAAATTTATTTTAATGATCAAAAACAATTACAATTAGACCTGTGATAAAAGTGAAATATACATAGAATAATGCTATATATGAAGAAATTAGCAATTGAAGACTATTTTGACACACATTTAATTATGCATTTCTGCACTTTTTACCTTCAAATGTTCTAAACGGTGTATATGTGAAGTATGTGAAAAAAAAAGCAAACCTCGTCTATTATATAAGTGATAACATTTGATTTTTTAAATTACTCCCAGACACCTGTTTAGAGCAGAAAATAGATATTGAAGCCTCATTTGAAGTGACAATGAATTATATTTTCATCTTTTTAAACGAAAATTTCATTTTAGCTGGTGATACTTTTCTTCAAAATAAGAATTTTTCTCCTTCGTTATACAATTAGGAAAAGATTTACAACCATAAATAGTTTAAATGAGAAAATTTAACATTGGTTCCATACAAAATAATTTTATTCCACTAAATTTTATTAATAAGTGAGTTATTTGAATATCTTATATGTAATTAAGTGGGGACCACTGTAGATATTTCATTGAAATTTATTAAATGATTATGAATATCACTCATACCTCATTCATTACTATGGTGCCATCAATGGCAAGTTCCAGATCAGTCAAAGTAGAACGAACATTGGTTATGACTTTTTGCATCCTATCAACTTCTTGTTTCAGAAATATATTCATGGGGGCTGCAGGATCGCCCAGAGCTTTAATTCTTTCTTTTATCTGGAATAAATGTACATATAAACAGTTAATTTTAGAAGACATTGAAATTAAACATATAAAATTGATAAAACTAATGGATAATTAAACCTTTTCTTGATGTTTCAGATAGTTCTGATGATTTTTTCCCCTAAAGTTTAATTATTTTTTAAAAAAATGCAAACTCTTTGTAAAAGGTATTCTATAGTAGGTATTCAGAGAAATAAAATGTACGTTTCTTCAGTAACACAAATGAAATCAATTCTTTCAGAAATTAGTGTAACATAAAAGTTACTTTAAATAATTCCAGATTTTCTCAACATTTATATGTTCTCTGTCTTCACAATATGGTTAAAAAATAAAAGCTTAAAATAGATATTTTGAAAAAGAACTTTTTAAATCTTACATTGATCATAAGGGCATTAATCATGATCCAAAAAAATAGTATTTTGTACTTAATTTTGTACAAATGAACTAAAATAGGTCATTAAAATAACTAGTTATATTCAGAACCCAATAATTTTATTTTTGGAAAGAAAATTTTACAACACTGTCAGTGTTTTAGTTAAATGTTCACAAATAATATTCAATGCATAACAACATAATTACTGTATTATTAATAACTCAACAATTCTTAAACTTTTTAAAAAATTATTAGCCTAGAATTAATTTTAAATCATTAAATAAAGTTTAGAAATTTTAAAATAGACTATAAAACAGTGAAGATCAGTATCTTTTAAAACCAAGTCACTTGTACATTTGATTTTTTCCAGCTTCCATGGAGATCTTAACAGCTAAAGATGAGTTTGTCATAACGAAGTTGGCTCAAGAGCATAAGTTTTAAACAATAATTTCTAACAAACAATAGATTTACCTCATGAGGAATGTAATTTTTGGGCAATTTAGACATCATATCTTTGGCCATTGAATAAACAACAGATTCTCTTGTTTCTCCAGTTCCGCCACCAGCATCTTTTGGCTGTATGCTGAGAATTGTGTCCAAAACTCCTTTAGTAGTGTTACTTTGATAGCTATTCAAAACAAAATTGAAAATTAGTAAAAATAATTTTATTAAACAAAATTACATACAGTGGTGGCCAAAAGTGTGGACACTTTTTAAAAGTTTCATGTTTTTCTACTTTGTGTGCTTGTAGAATATATTAATTTTCACTTAAATACAAACGTTTATATATTAACATAGATTTATCACTTT